AGGATAATGCATTAATTGTTGTTCTTTTCAGGGTTTTGTGCGTCCAAGCTACAAACTATTAGGGAGCCAATTGCATTAAAGCTACAAACTACTGGAGTGCCAATTATCAAAGCTCAAAACAAAGGGGGATCAAAGAATTCAAGGCCACCAAACAAGACTTTCATGTAATTCAAGGTCACTAAAAAAGACTTTCATGTAATTCAAGGCCACCAAACAAGACTGTCATGTAATTCAAAACCACCAAACAAGACTTTCACCCACCCTTGTTGCCTATAAATACCACCCCTTAGGACTTGTAAAGCATTCATCTTTTGGTAGTGAAAAATCCTCCAAAAGTATTATTGCTTTCCTTATTACTTATTGTTTTCTTTAAGTGTTGCTTTCTTTTATTGTATTATTGCTTTCTTTTACTGTAAGTATTGCTTTCTTTTACTATGTTATTGCTTTCTTTTACTTCCATTGCTTGAGCTTCCTTCTTTCCTTAGAGGAGTGAAACTCTTCCACTTTTCTAGAGCTTTACCCAAGCCGTGAAGGGTGGAATGTGATTCACTCATTCTTTGTCGAAGATCGGCTCCTTAGGTAAAGTGTTTTACTTTGTAACTCCTCTACTTGGAGAGATGAGCATCACTCACTTTTCTAGCTTTAACAAAGCCATGAAGAGTGAGTAGTTTCTCATCCAATCTTTAGTAAGAGGTGATTATGCGGAAGTTATATTTATGCATTTCATTTATGCGTAGCTCTAGTCTTTATTTCTTCATAATGTCTTCTCATCATATTGTTGTCGTTATTTTAAGCATGAATAGCTAAATCTCTTAGTTGGCAAAACCAAAAGGAACCTCCACTTGGGTATACCATTTTCAACTCATTCTCCTCCCTTCTTTCAGAGTTCAATAGTTCGGTTTGACTGGGTTGAGGGTGGATAACTTGGTGAGTCTTTGATATTCTGTGGGCCTAGTCACGGTTTACGCTTAGATACTCACCAATCTTATCCCTATCTTCCCACGAATCAATCGTTCATTCATGCTCTATTGGAGGAGGGTTTCGAGTTGAGATGGTATTCCTATTGGAGTGACCTCTCATAATCTGCTCAATTGATCTAATAGTGGCTTTAGGGAGTAAAAACCAACTAGACCAATAAACTTGAATGCCAAAGAGAACAGATTTGATCAATTGCAATCTTCCAGCATATGAGAGATATTTTCAAGTCCAACTTTTCACTTTAGCAAGCATTCTGTCTACAAGACTTCTACAATCTGCCCCTCTTAGCTTAGTAGATATAAGTGGAACTCCAAGGTACCTCACAGGGAGTTGGCCTGGTGGAAACCCAAACAGTTGCTGGATATTAGTTCTAGTGGAATTATGCACTCCTGCAGTGAAGATCTGACTCTTTGCATGGTTTGCTTGGAGATCAGACAACTCAGAAAATTTTCAAGTGCAGCCTTGAGTATGCTAGCAGAAGCCATATTTCCATTGCAAAACAGTAGAAGATCATCAGCAAAGCTTAGATGAGTGGTAAGTGTCTTCTTGCATCTCCAATGAAAGCTGAACTGGTCACTCTTAGTGAACTTATCAGTGATCATAGTAAAGACCTCCATAGCAATTACAAACAAGTAAGGTGAAATGGGGTCCCCTTGTCTTAACCCCTTAGCCCAGGAAAATCTCCCTCTAGTTCACCATTGATGCTGACTGAGAAAAGTGGAGAGGTGATGCAGGACTTAATCCATTGAATGAATTTAGGAGGGAATTTATTAACTCTAAAGCATCAAGCAGAAAATCCCACCTAACTGAGTCATAAGCTTTCTTCAAATCCACTTTGATAGCACATCTGGGAGAGATGTTATCCCTATGGTAACCCCTCATGAGTTCTTGAGCAAGCAGTATGTTGTCACCTATTCTCCTACCTTTTATGAAAGCAGCTTGAGCATAGCTAATGAGATGAGGCAAAATACTCTTCACTCTGTTGGCCAGAATTTTTGTAATGCACTTTTACAGTGTATTACAACAGGAGATTGGTCTATAATCACTCAACTTAGAAGGATTGGGAATCTTTGGTACCAACACAATAATTGTGGAATTCATTTCTCTGATGAGGCACCCAGAGATGAAAAAGGATTGGATAGCCCTCACCACATCCTCCCCCACAATGTGCCAAGTTCTTTTAAAGAAAAAGGCATTAAATCCATCAGGCCCTGGGGCCTTGTTAGAGTGCAGGCTAAACAATGTGGATCTAATCTCCTCCATAGACACTTCCTGGATCAACTGGGCAGCTTGGTCTTCACTGATAACCTTAGTTATAAATGGCCTCATAGCAGCCTTCCCTGGATAAGAGAGAGAGCATGGGGATCCAAGGAGGTCCTTGTAGTATCCAACAACCTCAGCTTTGACTTGGTTGTAGTCCTGAAGCATTGTTCCATCCTCTAGCTGAACATAGACTCTTTTTTTTATGTTATGTTTATGGACCTAAAGAAGAAACTTTTGTTTTGGTCTCCTTCTGATAGCCCCAGCTAATAAAGTTGCGAGATTTCTGCAACTAAAAGGATTCTTCATTGTGCCTAAGCCTTTCTCAGATAGGGTTTCTTTCTCAAGCTGCTGGAGTTGACTGAGATTGGACTGGTGCTGCATGGCTCTTTGGATGTCATGAAGCTTCTTCCTCATCTCATTCACTCTACCAGATATGTCACTGCATTTCCTCCTATTCAAATCTTTGAGGGCAACCTTTACTAGTTTAAGCTTCTGGATAACTTGAAAAAGAGGGTAGCCTCTGACCTCAGTTTTCCAGATCTCACTTACTTAAAGTATCAAATTCAGTACTGATCAGTATAGGAGGCCCAAAAGTGGAAGAATTTGAATGGCCTTTTTCCCTCTCTAAATTCAATTCCTGTTCTAACCATAATGGGGCTATGATCTGAAACTCCCGGGGGTAGAAATTCAGCCTCAGCTCCAGTGAATTTAGTCTTCCAGGTGTCATTTATCAAAGCTCTGTCTAACTTCCTCTCAATAATGCCAGATCCCAGCTGCCTATTAGACCAGGTAAAAAACAAACCAGAGAATCTGAGGTCCTCTAGTTCAGCATCCTGACAGCACTCGTCAAGATGTTCCAGCCCAGAATTCCATTCTAAATTCCCACCCCTTCTCTCCTGAGGGAATCTGACAGCATTGAAGTCTCCTAAAACCACCCAAGATTCATTAATAACCCTGCATGGTATTTCAAATTTATCCAGAGCGGCTCCCTTTCCTCTTCTTTCTTTTTTCCATAAACAAAGGAGGCAATGAAGTTTATCCTCTTCTCAATAATTGTGATGCTTAAATGTATTACCTGGTCTGTGCTGCCAATTTGGTTAAGTTCCAAAACATTGGGATCCCAACTTATCCAAATTCTTCCATTTGTGTGGCAATTATAATGAAACACAAACCTCCAATCCTTTAACAAAAAAGAAAGAAAGATAGGGTTTCAATCCTGAGTGAAGTAGCTAATTGAATAGTGCTGCTAGGGGGAAGCTTAGTGACTCGAGGAGAGAGAGGTAGGCCCATTCATACGAAGGCTATGTCAATTGAAGCCAATTCGGCTATTCCTTCTGTTGTGCCTGCGTCGGCTGCTGTTCAAAGATTAGAGACTATATTCAAGAATCCCAGAGCTTGAAGCGTAGGAGATCGGGTTGATGATGCATGGATGGTAGATAATCCATGTGCCAGCAGCCGCGGTAATACAGAGGATGCAAGCGTTATCCGGAATGATTGGGCGTAAAGCGTCTGTAGGTGGCTTTTTAAGTCCGCCGTCAAATCCCAGGGCTCAACCCTGGACAGGCGGTGGAAACTACCAAGCTGGAGTACGGTAGGGGCAGAGGGAATTTCCGGTGGAGCGGTGAAATGCGTAGAGATCGGAAAGAACACCAACGGCGAAAGCACTCTGCTGGGCCGACACTGACACTGAGAGACGAAAGCTAGGGGAGCGAATGGGATTAGATACCCCAGTAGTCCTAGCCGTAAACGATGGATACTAGGCGCTGTGCGTATCGACCCGTGCAGTGCTGTAGCTAACGCGTTAAGTATCCCGCCTGGGGAGTACGTTCGCAAGAATGAAACTCAAAGGAATTGACGGGGGCCCGCACAAGCGGTGGAGCATGTGGTTTAATTCGATGCAAAGCGAAGAACCTTACCAGGGCTTGACATGCCGCGAATCCTCTTGAAAGAGAGGGGTGCCTTCGGGAACGCGGACACAGGTGGTGCATGGCTGTCGTCAGCTCGTGCCGTAAGGTGTTGGGTTAAGTCCCGCAACGAGCGCAACCCTCGTGTTTAGTTGCCATCGTTGAGTTTGGAACCCTGAACAGACTGCCGGTGATAAGCCGGAGGAAGGTGAGGAGATATCGAGAGGTAGAATAGGTGAAATGAGTTCAAAGGAATTAGTTAAGACACGCTTCTTTAGCACAGGCCACGGAGTGAAGTTGGAAGGTTCAATGAGCTACGCGAAGGGAAGATCTTGGGCACTATTGTTGTCTATATACAAGTGGCGTAGGCGAAGCTGTGGTGACTCGTGGAGTAGGCAGCGAGCTCCGCTTGAACAGAAAGCAGCAAGCTGCAAGCACCTACTCCTATCAAACTGAAAAGCAGTGATACAGGAAGCAGTTTCCAGTGGAACTATTGACCGAAGAGCCTTACTACCAGAGCTAGTAAGCTAGCGGAAGAGCTCAACTCCTACTATAAGCTGATGAAGAGCTACTATCACCAAGAGAGGGATTACACCCTTTTCCGACAGACTGCTCGAATGGACAGACTCATTAAGAGAAGTGCGACCTCAGCACCGCATCTATCGACCGGGCTAACTGCCCCCGTTGACTCCCGTTTCCCGATATACTTATTTTGTTTTGCATGGGCCTATTCCTATCTATAAGTGGAATTACCTTTCTAGGCCTAAAAGAAGGTCCTTTTATGGAGGGTTCATGTCCCTATAGTGACCTATTCCCTTTTTCTTGGGTTTCACACTAAGACTAATGAGCTCTAAAATGATGCTTGGGGATTGCTTCTGCCCGTACTGTGCTTCCAACTACCGCCCACTACATCAGTATAGTTTAAAAGCAGCAGCTAGCTTTATTGACTCAACCAGAGGGGCGAAGCGAAAGCGAGGTACGTGCCGATTTCCTATTAGCTTGTGTAACTCATGTCACCTAACGAATCAATTAGCTGTACTGATGAGCTAGTTTGCTATATTTCTTGTGTCTACATGGTTGATTGGCCGGCTTCCCCACTACTTGTATTGATTTATTTTTCTCTCTGCATGCTGTGTACCGCGTGCTGGCTTCCCCATGTTCTTATTCCATTATTGTAATAATTGGCTTACCGGTGGATGTCCCTATCTCTATGTGCCTGGCTCCCCGACTACCATGTATTATTAAAAAGAGGGAAGCGAAAGCGCCTAACTCAACCGCCGACCCTGTTCTGCCTACTACTCCAGTTGGCTATTTCAAATCATCATTCACCAGAAATCCTCACCTCCTGCACGTACTTACAAATCCATTTCCCTCCCCACCTACTTCATGGTGGCTACCATACCATCTCCCACTTATGCTATAGTTATAGAGCTACTATATTGGATATAGGGTGAATTTCCCTCTAATACCGGATGATCATAATCTCGTGTAAACTCGGCTCATAAATGTGCAATTCATCAAAGTTATTCCAGGGCATGAACGGGACCGATGCCACTCCCACTTGAAGTAAGGAATGAGCGTGGTGTGGGGTATATTACATACAAGAAAAGGAATTATTTTTCGATGTTATTAGTAAAATGGACCATTTTCTAGAAAAAAAGACATAAACTCCGTAAATTTCAATGCAGTTCTGTGACATATTAGCTAACAAGGGAAGATCAGAGAGATTGAACAAGCGATTGAAGAGTGAACTTCAGACCGATAGATAACAGTACAGCTATAACAAGGCAACGGAGAGATTCGCTAAACAGCAGATCGATATCCCTTTGCCTTATTGAGCCTGAATTTGAGCATGTTAAGGAAGCCTAATTGAGTTAATAAGGGAAGCCCTATTCGATTGCTTTAACACGGCTTTTGCTTAAACAAATAGGCCTACGAGATGAAATAACAGAAGGAGCAACTAGAACTAGAGGAATGCTGCTTACCTCAGGCTCCTTTCAATTAAGCCAGCCCTATGATTCCTTTTCCCTACACCCCCCTTGTGGCACACCCTTTTCCATAGACCGAGAAAGGAAAGACAGCACGCCGATAGAGCTGCTAACAAGGGCAGGAAAGAAAGTCATTCATTCGTAGACCGATTGCCCTATCTCAACAAGGGCCAGTTACAGGGCCGAAGACAGGGCAAGAAGAGAGAGATCTCATTTCAAAGAAGATCGATTCACCAAAGCGATTGATCCAGAAGAGCGACTGGAAGATCTATTTCAAGAGAGATTCGCGCTTGGACCAGACCAGCTAACAACTAGCGGAGAGAGAGATTGACTCATAACGGAAGAGCTACTGCTACTAGAAGAAGAGCTAGCCATAACGGAAGGAGACGCATTCAAAAACTAGAGAAAGGCTAGGGGCAGGGACTAAGACTAAAGCAAGGGACCTTTACCAGTTCCACATTCCGGATTAGTGATAGAGGTTGGACAGAGAGCTGACAGCCGATGCCCTATAGCGATAAAGACAGAAGTACTTTGAAGCAAGGGATTTGACAGATTCTCGATTCCAGGGCAGGTAGCTTCTTTAAAGCTATAGCCTTTCCGGAAGACTTTATTGAATTCTAATCTATTCTATTCTATTCTATATTGGAATTAAGGGAATTGGTATTCGTTCGTGTACTGATTGATTGAGCTCAAAGGCGGGAAAGGAAGTGGAAAGAACTCCACCGAATTTCTTGCTTTACTGATTGCGTCTATTAAAGTCATTCCATCTGTAGGCTTAAAAGAAAGCATTTCTATATCATGTTTAGTGCATGATAAAGACAATTTGCTAGCTTTCAAAAGTCTTTTGACTACATATAAATGCCCGTAGAAAGACTAATTCCAGCTCGACCGGGAAGAGCGATTGAAGAAATGACAGCTGGTTTACCAATGCCCCTATCTGCATCCGCCGACCTATCACTTTGCTTTATGGCATATGTTCCTTAGCTTGCTTGCATCTTCACTGATTGCGCCTTCTCTAATGCCCCAACCTTCTAAAAGATAAGGCCACTCCTCCTTTCTTTCCTTTCTCAAGGATTCCTCGCTTGAATCCTTACCTCAGGCTCCTTTCAATTAAGTAAGGGAGTAGCGTATCATATAGGGGACATCTTTAGTCTATCCCCAAATAGACTAGCCAATTGTTAGAGCAAGCATTCGGTAGGCGCTTTATGCTATCATAGGCGGGTGCAATCAGTCAATACGTTAAACGATTTTCTTTTGGAATATATCCCCCTTGATGCGCGAGGGGCTCTCGGAAAGAAGGGGCAAAGCAAAAGCAAGAGGAGGTCGTAGATACTATACCTGGAAGAAGTCTCTCTCGTAGGGCATTTATCTGTAGTAACAAGCCTGTGAAAGCAATATCTTCTAGGCTTATAAAGAGCTTTCAAACCCGCCTAGGTGGAACTGGTAGGTAGCTGGCAGCAATTTCTCCCTTCTTCGCTACGGCCCCCTATAGGATAATTGTTGGAGGGTTCCCGGCCCTCGGTAGACCAAGTGAGCTTTCCTGGTTTTCCGTCTGCTTCTAACCCTACAGGTGTTCTAACTTGAGTTTGGTATATTTAGTGTTTCGTCTAGTTCGAAGCATTCCTGGTGAGCTTGAGATGTCGATATTGGTTGGGCATTATAGCGATCAGAGTGGGGAGAATAGGCCGAATATTAGGTACGCGGAAGGGGACCTTGCTAGTGAAAAGAAGGGCAAGCAAGGGAAGTGCGAGCTAACTAATGGCAAGGGCCGGAGATAGAGAGTGATTCAGGGAATTGCATTCATTAAGGAAGCAAACAAGCATCGATCTATTGTTGGATGGGATTCGCCCTATCCACCAAGCGTTAACTGCTACACGAGAGTACAGCTAACCTAAGCGGGAAGAGCATATTGAATTAACAGACGGAAATCAAACTATTCCATTTGAAAAAGAAGGGATATGCACAGGAATGCTAGACTCAACTCATTTTGCCTCCCGTTTTGTTTTCTTCACTTGAGGAGAGTCCCTAGCGTACTAGACTTTGAAAAAGGGAATGTTACCGATACTTGAAAGACTCATCCTCTGGCAAAAGCTTGACTTTCTTACTTCAATCGCCTATTATACCGTATTGCCTGTGCCAGTTTGCGCCTGCCACTCGTACTGAACTAGCCAAAGAAGCAAGAGAAACTGAAAGCAATTTACTTCTTGCCTTAGCTTCTATAAAAGTAAACAACTAAGCCTTTACTCTGGAATTCCACTTTAGAAAAGTCAAATAAAGTGATTCGTAAAGAAGTTCATTTAGTATGAGAAGTAGGTTTATCCATTGAAGTTGAAGTCGTTAATTTCAGTAGTTGAAGTACTTCTTGAAGTTGAAGTACTTAGTTTACCGATTGAAGTTGAGGTAGGAAGTTCATCGCTCTCCCCCCATGACTCTAGTCTGTCGGAAACTGTATCGGTATCAACTGCAACTGTCGTAATTGGTCGAGCTGGCATCGGTCGATAGGTAGGCGCAATCACTTGCTTGTTCGATAGCGATGCCTTGAATTCAATAGTGTGATCCCCGGCCATCTCTCCCTTGCAATTGGGAATCGGGTAAGGCGAATCGATCTTCTAGGCGGATATACCATAGGGAAATAAACGTACAATAGGATAGGAATGGTAGCGAAAGTGAATGAGGAAAGCTGGCATGACTGTCTGCAAGATCTTTCTAGGCTTAAGCATAAGCGGTAAGAAGCAAAAAAAAGCAGTAGCAGTACGCTAATAAAATAAGCCAGTTGTTGAAGTATGAGTGAAGTTCCTGTTCTGTATCGGGAAACTCTAGCAATCGGGAGTAAGAGGGAATAAGGAATCTCTTTGATGGTAAGAGTAGCAAGTACAGGGGGAAGGTGGAAAGGGGGTTATGGATCAAATGAAAGACATATAGTGCGATTACTGTATAGGTTAGAGTATCCCCCTGGAAGAGCTCAGCTAGTCTACTAACTTATTTGATTAGCGTAGAGTAAAGAACTATATAAGACTATTCCCCAATAGAGTACCCTATTCTTATCTTATCTTATCTTATCTTATCTTATCTTATCTTATGAGAAAGCATTTCGAAATCGGTACACATACGAATAGCGGTTTAGAATGAATTGCTTTTCTCGCTTTAATCGGGAAACTGTAACGGATCTGTACTGTGAAAGATCTGTCTGATAGTCAACCTGGAGTTTCGTCGATCTATTGGCACTTATCTGTAGAAAGAAAGCTTGTTAAAGAGAGAAGATAAGGAAGGAATAGATAGCTCTAACAAGTCTCGATAAGAAAGCTTAATCAAGCCTTCCGCGATATCTGTAGTTCATTTCAGTTTCAGTAGTTGAAGTATTCAATGCGATATCTGTAGTTTAGCGAGTTCTGTATTTCAGTATTAGGTAAGCGAGTTCTGTAGTCAACTGTATCAGTAGTGAATCGATTGAAGTATTGAAGCAGTATTATTGCCCTTGTTAGCAGCGAATCTGGAATCGGAACTATTTAAAGGAATTAAAGATGCAATCGGTCATCGGTCGTGTCTCGTACTGTATCGGTCTCAACTGTCTCAATCGCTAGCTTTTCTCTACTTGTCTTCACCTTCGGACATCAAGAAAGCCGAAAAGACTGACCAGATGTGAACTCTTGGGGCTTTGTTGCTTTGTAAGGGCTTTCAGAGGGCTTGACCTCTGATGTATGGAAGTACGTGGTTGAAGTGAATTCCTCGGATGATTGCTTCTATTTATAGAGTAAGGGGGCAAAGAGAATACGAGAACTCATCAGAAAATTGCGTTAGAGAAGATAGAGCTAAAGCTTCCTTCTTCTTGAGCCTGCTGGCCTGTTGTGCCTCTTTGGTCATCGGCTCCTATCACAGTTTTAGAATGGATTCTCTCGGGCTTACAGACATGATAGAATGTTTCATTCCACGAGTGCCCGTTTAAGCTATTCCATACGCTGTCTTTGGCAAAGCCCAGTTATTTGAGAATCGATCAAGCTCGGATCGGAAAGGGGTTCAAAGAGCTTCTGGGCAACCAAAAAAGAGGTTAGTAATACGCTTTCGAAGGTACTAATCCGCTAGACCAAGACTGAGAAAAAGAACTCCTCTTCTTCTGCTGCAGCTGCTGGAAAGGAGGGAAGCAAAAGACTAATCCCGATATTCCCCACTAGGGTTGATCGAAAATAGAGCTTCTAGTTCGTCTCTGATTAAATAACATATGAAGTGCAAAAGAGAATTGCATCTTCTTTAGCCCCATGAAATAGAAAAAAAAAGGGTATCATATTCCTGTGCGAAAGCAACTCGATCGACTACCTTGATAGATAGGAGTCAAGCTCTTGCTAGGTTCGATAGAAAGAATGAGTGCAGCAAGGAGGAAAGGAGTGGAGGATGTGATCCCGGTAGGACGCTAAAGACTGACTTGCCCCCACTTTATGGATGTAGCAAGTCTAATCGTCTGGTACTAAACTGGTAGGGATATTGGGTACGAAAGCGAAAAGTGAATCAAAGGGAAGGGTATTTCGACTTGAACCCCTACATTTTAGAAGTGAAAGAAGTCAGGAAGTAAACCTGTGACAGCTGAAAGGAACTCAAACTTTGCATCTACTGAACTATCTTCTGCAGCTGCAGTAAAGGTGGGAACCAGATATCGACTCAAGGGGTTGGGTTGGTTTACAGCTCGGTGTGGAAGAACCCAGGCTTTTGGTCTCCCTTTCTAGCAGCGGTTCCTGATTCAATTGTAAGTGGTACTCTTGATTCAATTCCACCAAACCCGAAAACAGTTCCATAGGAGCATGCATTCGAGTCCTTTTCTTTATATATGATGTCACTTCTTTCCCCTGCTTTTAGTGAAGTTTCGAGCCTGAGTTCAATCCCAAAACCAAAAGTCCATCCCAGCTGTCAACTACGTGCGGATAAGGGACGAAGAATGCTTAAAATCCCGGTTATTCCTCTCCAAAGAAATCCCCGTATTCGCTTCGCCCCTCAAGTCCCACATCGGCTTGATGCCATCTTCATGAAGGAGAATGCCCCAAAAGCGTCTGCTAAGATTAACTGTACAAAATCGAATGCTGTCAAATTTGCCTTAGTGCAGTTACTCTCAGTGAAGTTCCTAAATAGGAATATTTGGTAAAAAAGCTCTCGATTCAAAAGTCATTTCTCGAGTAAGATGAATGTGTAGCTTCTTCTCAAGCAGTAGCACCGGCAACTAAAACAGTCTTCTATCCAACACCGGTTACTTCTATAAGACAAGAGCTCCTAATGGAACAATTACCTATTCTATCTGATTCACTGCCAATACCCAAAAAATAAGGTATTCAGATTCAATTGCGACAAGAGCACGTTCGAGAGCAGGGGATATTGCAGAAAGACCTTCTACTTCTATTGCATCAACAGCTGATTCAATTGCTATCAGTTCTAAGCCTTAGTCATCTATTCGATCAATGCAGCCTTACGACTGTCGACTGTTCTTTAATCCATTATTTGATTTGCCGCCTAGGAAGGAAGAGCTAATCTTTCTACTCTACCAGTTTTATGAAATATCGAGTTACCTGCTAATTCATCTGCACATCGCTTATTCACCATCAGGAAAGACAGGAAATCCAGTAAGAAGGATCAGGTAAGAGGCAACTAACATGCTAACAGCAGCCCACATGGCAAAGAGCCTGTTCTATTAGTCCCACAGCTCCTTACAGAACACTTGCTACCGTGGCCTAAATGCTACGCACCTTCTACGAGGATATCCGGGAACGTGTTACTTTTTAAAAGACCGGGATTTGGGGCAAAGGATACCCCTTACAAGCTTCCCCTTCTTTATGTGTAAATGTGTAATTGGCTTCGCTTCGTTGCAGCCTATTCTGTTCTGTTCTGTTCTGTTCTGTTCTGTTCTGTTCTGTGATGGAGAGATCGAAAGCATTAGGGTCGTAGCGTGAATGTGAAATTCCCTTCCTTCTCTTACGTTCTATGGGATCCTTCTCTGTGGTAGGTGCTGCTCTAAAAAAAGGGTTGGTAGCATTGGTTCTTGGAACATAGGCCATTCTCGGTGACGGGCATGACCTTGTCGTCTGAAATGCGTGCAGAACTTAGGTATTCAAAAAGAAACGATTTCTTGCTAGTGATCCATACACAGTAGATCCAATCCAAACACGATTTGGGAGGTTTTCCTTGAGAAGATCGACTTCTACACAAACCCTAGCTACGTTGGGGCGTGAGACAAGCTTCGTAGGACCATTAAGGGTCAGGCCAATTCCGAAAGTAAAGACGATAGAAAACAGGCGAAACTCAAAGAAGAAGACAATAGGCAGATGGGGTCGCCCCAATAGGCGCATGCATTGGATCACCATTGCGGAGACGGAAATCATGGCTCCAGCAG